AAAATCATGTAAAATTATCTCACGAGCACTCTAAAAAACTTACAACATACCGTGATTTTAGAAACTCCAAAATGGCTTTTTATTTCTGGACCAGAAAAACAACACCAAATCAAAAAGGTATATTTGGCGCCTTACAAATCATAATTTTTTATGTTCCCAAAAAATACTCGAAACTCAATAGACCACCAGAAAATGGGCACATGGGAAAATCATCCAAAATCAAACATAATTACATTAAAAAAAGCACCCAAAAAACCTTACAGCATTCCTTGTTTTGAGACACCGCAAAATGGATTTATTTTTAGTTCTGGAGAAAGCATTGGCACATGCAAAAAGTTCACCGGGCGGTGTGGCGACCGGTAATAATATTAAACAAATAAAAGCTCTTGTTTTTAAATTCCCAAATGGCTTTTTTATTTCTGGACCAGGATAATAATTGGTAAAATCCCTCGGTTTGCAACACCCTAATATGCGACTATGCCTTCAGAATGTTTACAGAATTAATAAAAATAAGTGCAAAATATTCCCCGTTTTCATTACGACAGCTTATACCGTTTATTATGTGTCTATCGAGGAGAATTATCGGCACGACCATCAATCGTGAATTAAGACTTCAACTCATGAGCCCTTGACGAATCAACAGTTTTGTTCAATACTCAATTCAACATCAGCAAATCAGCATTGCTACATCAATAACAGTGCAACAAGCAAAGGTATAAAGACAAAAAAAATGCGCTTTTTCCACAAAATAAATTTATTAAATGAAGAGAAGGCAAAATCTTATCAGTAAATAACTTAGTTTAAGTCTCAATATCATAACACCATTCTCACCAGTTCTATCATTTTAGATAAGTTGAKATTAGTTCTACAACATGCTTTTCAGGATTAACTTGAATTACATTTTTCCATTCGGATGTATTTCGAAAGACAAGCATATGAGTAGTATAATCACCATCCACAGCCAGACCTATAAGAACGTACTCCTTAGTTTTTTTAAATTTCAGCACCTCTAAATCTCTGCCAGTGCCAGCTTTACC